ATCAACATAGTTTAAAATGTTTTACATTTAATTAGGCTGTTACTATCATTGCTGCCAGGTTTACACTGGTGAAACAATCTAGAATTAAGTCAAACTTTCTTAAATTAAGTGTATTTACCGTTAATTTGAGTAGGTAAATGAGATGGTTTCCTAATGCGATTAATATTTTTGCTTCTAAAATCAGAGTTAGATAATATACACTTGAAATAAAACAATGCAATTTTTTTCTCATTTTAAATGTCTCACTTTCCTCCTCAATTCAAGAAAAAATGCACTTATTTTAAGAAAAAAATACTTATTTAGATATTACTTTTCTGCACTGTAGGTAGTAGCTCTCTGGATTATCTAAGTTATATGTACCTATGTCTATACTTTTTTAAGAGTAGCTATAGGAATTCCCCAATAAGAAATAACCAACAGAAACATAATGTTTAACAAATAGGTATGAATATCGTAATGATGTAAATGCTGATGAAGATTCTCAGTCATCCAGGTCATAGTCATTCCGTAAAAATTAAAAAAAATCTCCAGGTATTATCAGGTATTACAGGAGACAATCCCCCGCCTTTAACGACCGACCCTCAGAATCATAGACAGGTTTCAGATATTACAGGCTAACGATGGAACCAAAAGACCAATTCATCGGTTACCATTTGCATGTTTCCAAGCGACACAAGGCTTTGTCTATATAAGACTCAAACTCACTGCGGATCCAGACATTTGAATTGAGAAAGCTTCCTGGAGAGGTGGCGAAACGTCTTCAAATCTTGGAAACCAAGTCCAGTGGATATTTTTTGAATTTTTACGGAATGATGTAAATCTAACTAAGCATTTGTTAAATCATACCATCCTTTTTGACATTTATAATGGATCCAAATGCAGGCAGGCAGAAGCAGCACTATGAGTCTACATCTAATTAATAAAACACAAAACATGTCAAGTTTAGCATAAGGTAAACCAAGCTGGCATGGATATGAAGAGGCTTTGCATATACACAGCAGATTAATCCAGTTTGGGATGAAGATAACTAAAGAGGTATGTCAGTGAGAATGATGGACATGATACAGGTGGACTTATAAGGAAAACTCCAAGCACTTAATGAGCTCTGAGAAGATCACAAAACAGGATCAGGAGAAAGTTCAAACTAACATACAAAAAGAAAATGAAAACCACAGAGAAAAATCATAATGGTGATTTTTAAATCAATAATCTATCCCATACATCCCATGCACACATTTTACATTAAAGGCCCTTAGCCTAGGCAAATGCTACTTTCAGACCACAAGTACTGGAAGCAGAAAAAAAGCTTCTGCTGCTTAATTTTTGATGCTTGTGCACATTAAGGTCAGATGTCCAGTAAAGTGTGTCCAGATGTGACTCATGCTTATGCTGCTCCTGTGTTCAGAGGGCGAGAGCAGCTCTGCTATATTTGCTGTTAAAAGTGGGTAAAAAGTCGTTTTTAAAATGTTTTTAGGGGGGAAAATTGCATCTGTGCAGTCAGTTCATCAAGATTATGATCCTGCCTTCAAATATTATTTCGCTGTCTGAGCCGCTCACATCCCCGTACACTGAGCGACTGTATGGTGGTGATCTGTGTCTGGAAATCCCGTTCAATGGCAGCCTCTGGCCGGGTCGCCTGCTTAACGTTTTCCTCTATTGTTTGCAGCGGCTGGAATGCATTTTTCACATATATAATCCAAACCTCAGGCATATGTATCCGGCATGTTTCAACATTTCAAGTTAATTTAGGCGTTAATAAACTGTGGGGAGTGATCATAGCGGTCTGCATCAACAGCCCTGTGTCTGTCTCCCTGCCACCTCCCAGATCAGCATCTCTGATTGGTTGATGTGGCGCCTCGAGCAGCAGAAGTTCAATTTTCCAACTCCAGCAGCTACTGCTTTTGCAGCGTGCGCTCGTCAGATGCTCAAAAGCTACTGAGGTGCTGCTCAAAACGCGCTGCAAGAACTTTTGCTGCGCCTTGATGCACATCAACCATTGACTTTGCATGTAAACTAGCTGCTTCTGCTGCCTGTAGCGCGTGCGGTCTGAACGTAGCATAACAGGCCCTGGGGGTTCTTGTCACCATTATCTTTGTGTGAGTGAGAATTAACCTTGAGATTCACAACTGCATTTAAATCTGGTTGTGGAAACACTTCAAAACGGACTGTTTTAAAAGCGTAAACCACAATCTTCAGTTGCAATGGTTCACACTCTATTCTCTCATGTTGACACTCAGTGCAGACAGCTAAATAACTTAAAAGGTTTAACTTAAAGTCTGTTACTTTGTTACAGACTGTGTCACCTTTTGTATTTACAATTTCTACCCATCCCACAGCTGCAAGTTAACTGACTGTGTGTGACCCATCATCAAAGTGGTTAAATGTCTCACATTTCCTCATTTAAATGAGGTCAGGTGTGAATGTTTAACTACATGAGACAGTCTTAGTGACAGGAAGCCTGAAGTTATTCACATTGTTTAATCTCAAGTTATTACACAATCATTACAAAACTAAACAGCCCACATTGGAGGGTATGGAGGACTTTTAATAATACCTGAGAACTGGAACATGTGGCATGTAGGTCATGTCTAAGGTGAGGCATAGACTGACTGCTGAAATGGGATCTTAATATGTAAAAAAAATAAAATAAAACGTTGTCACCCTATGGACATTTTTACAATCATATTATTGCAAATTATCTTTTTTACCAAATTGGCCCTTTTTAGTCTCTATATTTTTCCTTTTGAAATATACAGTGCACATATCATGAATTTGTTCAACTTTACAGTGGACCTTTACTAATCATATATCCCGGTTATTTTACTGTGGTGTGTTCACTTTGGAAATCCGCTGAATTTTCACACCTTGAACTTAATTATTTTGACACATTAGCACAAACCTAATATTTTATTGGGATTTTATGCCATAAATCAACACAAATCAGAGTGTATTTGTGCAGCAGAAGGAACATTTTGTGCACTTTTTAAAATAGGTAAATAGGTAATAGGACATTTCATAGAGGTTTTGCTGAAATTACAGGTAGAAGTCTTCCTGATTGTCTGTTGACCACCTTTTTTTTCCTTACTTTTATTCTGCTTTTTTTGTGATCCAATTATTTTATGGGTTTTAACAATGTTTTTGGCTTTATCTGTTTTTTTTTTATGTCTCTTCTATTTTACTATCTAATACATGTAAAGCACTTTTGATTGTGCTATACATATAAAATGGTCTTGCCTTACAAGGAGTGAAGTTTCTGGCCATTCTTCTTTGCAGAAAAACTGAAGCTTAGTCTGATTGGATGAATATGAATATGTTACATTCTATTTTCAAGCCTTTTCCCTGATTCTCAGCTGAATGTCGAACACATGACTGCTTTATTCTTAACGCTGTAGCTCTGATTGTATCTTTAGGGCTGTTGTTCTGAACTTCTTCCTCTGAACTCAAACATGTTATTTCATTATAGCCCTGGATTTATCGTAATCCATCTTTGCATCAAATCTGACAAGTTTCCTTGTCCATCCTGAAGGGCATTCCCTGCACGATACTGCTACCATTATGATGATGATGATGTGCTCCAAGCTTTGAATTATCAGCGTTCTACATGTAGGCAAAGCCAGAGGTCTGACAACACCAGAACACCTGCTACTGTTTGCTTTCCAAAACTGCCAACAGGACTTCTACGGATTCAAGAGGAAGGCAATAAAGTAATGTTGCTGAGGTAATAAAATGGTAGCAGGGTTATCTAGATTTTCACACAGCACTGTTAAAGTGGGATCACCCCGTCACAATGTAGGTCAACGGTTTTACTCTTCAAATGAAACAGACAAGCTCATGAGTCAAAAGTAGTTTCTGATTTTATTTACAGTCATTTTACAAAATCCACACAAACAATGAAATGGAAAGTCACTGCTGCGGTTTATAAAAATGAATCAAGTCTAGTTTTATTTTGGGGGAGGAATAAATTATCAGCTGCACCCAAAGATCCAAGAAAATTATCTGTTTGTTTACATGTTGCAGAGGCCAGTTGAAATTTTACAGGATAATGTAAATACTACAAATTGTTCTGAAAGCTGTTGATTCTTGAAGTTTAGCTTATTTTAAAGGATAAATTCTGCAAAGCACAACTACAGTTTTATTAATCATTTTCTATCTGGGCCCCTTACACATTTGTGTGTGTGTTTAGTACATTAATTCACTTTTTAAAATGTAACACTCAGGTTGAGTTGGGAGGTTATTTTTTTATATCAGCTGCTTAAGGTTAGCTAAGAACGACGTTATACAAATGATGTTATGCATTGCAACAGTCTAAATCTGAACATTCTGCTATTAGTAACCTTTATATGATACTCATTGGTTATTGTGCTAGTGTCCAATCTGATATAATTGTACTTTGTAAAACTCCACGTAAGTAGCAAATAGAAAAAAAATTGTAAAACGGATTGTATTTACAATTCATTTGTTCTGAAAATATGTAAATAAATTATTCAAAACCGAATTTCACAGAAACGTGTAAAGTAAAAAAGGCATGGCTTTAAGTAGCAGCATCTGATTGATAACGGACCGTTTGCTTGTGTCGCCACCTAGTGGCGTTTAGGCGAAATACAAGACATCTCAGCTGACATATAAGTTGAATAACATTACAGAACCTAGTCCCATTCTATTAACATGTTTTATAAAATCCAATGCAGCTCTTTATCAACAAAGGTTCTTCTCACTTTTAAAGTCTGAGGGCTGACCTGATTTCTCACAGTAAGATATCAATAAAACAACTTTTTGCAGACCTTTTTTAATAGTTTTAACAATATTCTGAAAGACTGAAAAATGTTGGAACATGTAAAAAATACAACTTCACATCAATTCAAAAGGTATTTAACACATAACTCAATTGTTATAGCCTATAAGAGCCACTCTAGTTCATACCATTGCCAGTATTGAGCTGTAAATAAAAACATAAAACTAAACAGTTCTCTGTGGTGTATTTTTGCACTTTTGTATAACAACACCACCTCAGGCAGGTCACAGTCCCTGGTGTTTCTGCTGGGAACCTGGGAGTCAGCAGTGTTAAAAAACGGGTTAAATGAGAAGTGAAGGGGTTGGTTTCTTCCCCGGCCAGGCCTCTTTTGCGTATTTCTTTTTCCGTGGCTCGTTGAGGGTGGTCTCTGGGAGGTACGGAGCTGTGACCGGTGTGGGGTTGAGGGTGATGGGGGGCTGGGGAGCCTCTGGGGCCAGATCTACCTCTGGTGCTGGGTTGGGGAAAGGTAGAGGAAGCCCACCCTGCATGGCAGCCCCTCCTGGAGCTCCTGTGGGCTTGTTCTCATGGCTGGTAGGAGGTAAGTCCCCGTAAAGGCCTCCACCTAAACTGTAGGCATGAATGCGCTTTGATGCAAAGTCATCCAGACCCAGTGTGTTCTGACTATCAAATCTTCGTTTCTGAAAGACGGAAGATGGAACAAAGACTTCACAAGCCATATACATGACTACCAATGTATTCACTCTACATAGAAGGCTCAATTTAATCTGTCAGCTGAGTGGATCGTGTTAAATGTAAAGAGAATAAATACCTTCATGGGGATGACTGCTGTCTGCACCATATTTCTAAAGCGTCCAACCGAGGGGTCTATATCTTCTGTAAGTACAGAAAAAACAATGATTACACTTTACTGCACAGAACATTAGTCTAACTTATTAGAAGAGTTAAACTGTGGGCTAATGTGCAAGATCCATGTTATAATAAGAGTTCAATCCAGCAGAGATGGGCAGTCTATTCCAATCCGATCTTTATGTTCCAAAATATGATTCCTCAAAAAACTAATTTACTCTTGCCATCTGCTGATATTTAGTTTCATTTGGTCACAGTCAGGAACCATGTTCAGGGTTCCTACTGCATAAGGCAAGTTAAATTCAAGACTTTTTAAGACTTTTTAATGCCACTTGAAATAAAAATTTAAGACCAAATTCACAGGAAACAAAAGAAAAACCTGCTTGCGAGAACTTTACCCAAAGGTTTATTTTAACATAAACCACTGCAATGTTTCAAATTTTGAAATGCTTCCCATACAGGAAGAAAGCTAAAAACACACAAATGACAGATATATTTTAACAATTATTTAACTGAATTCACAAATTTTGTTTTAGCATGGAACAAAACAAATCAGTTTTAAAGGCACAACATAACCTTTTTTGCAGCTATTTTTCTTTGTATCGTTTTCTTAGTATGTTTGATTTGGTGATAAGTGGAGGCGTTGCAGAGACAAGGGTGGAACAAAACTGATAAATACCGGCTGTTTCTCTGTAACTTGATTTTGACGCTTTGTGTTTCACGCTTCGCATGCGTGACTCCACTGCCTTAATTCCCATCGTTCCGAGCTTGAATCGCTTCTTGCACAAAATCCACTGAGCCTCATGTATGTTCCCCGGTTTTAGCCATGGAGAAAACTCTTGGCTGGATAATCAATTTTTGTTACATTTACACTTGCTCATATTTTCCAGACAAAAAGTAAATGATACATCTCCCAAACGTCCCGGCCGCAACAACGCTTTTATTGGTTCCGCTATCGGGACGGAACCAATAATGGCGAGCTGTTATTTTTTTTTAAATAAAAAAAAAAAAGGTAAATTTTAATGTTTTATTTAGATTACAAAAATAAATCATGCTAAAAATAATCCTATTTATGATGTTTTAAAAATTAAGACCTACGAAAGACGGATTTAAGACATTTTAATACCAGTTAAGGCCTTAGTTTTAAGGCTTTTTAAGGACCCGCGGGAACTATGATGTTAAAGACACCAAGTGAAAAACCAATATTACTTATATACTAATATTTACCTAAAGTTTAGATCTCTTTTCATATTTCCTTATTAAAAAATAAGAGTTGAACTATCCTAACAAAAGCATTCATTTGTACTTAAATGTGGTGTTATATTGACCTGGATTAATGACGGAGTCCTCTTCACTGAAAGTAACTCTGGAGTTCTTGCGTTTCCTCTTTGGCCTCTGGATTTCCAAGTTGCCTTCTTCGATTGTCAGGAGGGAGATACGTTTGTTGTGGGCTGTATTAAATTCTGTAAGGTTCTGGATGACCAAAGAAATCACACACAAAAAAACGTTAACTGACCATTATACCACCATTCTGTGACTGGGCTGGATGAAAATACAAAGTACTTTATAAATAAGGAAATGGGGAAAAAAAACTCCAAGCTGAATGTCCATTATAAGTTACAGTTTATTCAAAGATGTATTTCCACTTAAAATATTTTTTGTTGCCTTTGAACGATCTGAAATCATTACTTCGGTGGATCACATATACATGCAGGTGTTTAAGAGGTTGTCATCATCTTTAACACTTGAGAAGAATTAAAGATGGGAAAGAACACACTTGAGCATAGCTGAGTTGCAAAGCGCTTTAAAGAAACTACAAACAAATAAAAGTAAAACATATTCAGCATTGCAGTGGAATAAAGGGAAATTTAGGTAAAAAAATAAATAAATAAATTAAGAGTTGATGCCATAAAAACTATTCTGTAATATTTATGCTGAAGATCAGTCCAAAAATCAAAAAGTTTTATTTTTCCTTTCTGTTTTTTAATTCACACATCAGAAATATAACTAAAATAAATAAAATAAAAAAAAAACAGTGAAACCATGATTTTTTTGCTTAAGGTTATCAGACCATCAGAATTTCATACCAGCCCATGCCTACTTATAAGACTCCAAAAGAAAAAAAAAAATATTGTATGGCAAAAGATAACCAACAAGTTAGCAAGGAACTTTAAGTATTCAGCCCAATGACCCCAGTAGAGTTAACTACCTACTTTATACCACTACTAAATAATAACCCACCTCTAGCTCCGTCTCCTCCTCTGGAAGTCCAAGCAGTCCTTTGAGCTCTTCTTCATCCCCCGTCTTACTGTCTCCTGTGCCAGCAGTGCCTTGGGTCTGGGGCTTCTCTCTTATAGTGTAGGTCCTTGTTGATGCTCCAAAAGATATCGTAGAGTCTATAGGAACCTGCTGAGGCTTGTGGGGTTCAAGGCGAATATGCCCAAGGAAAGTACCATGTGCTGAAATTAAGATATCGAATGTTAGGAAAACCTGAAATCTGATGAAAAAAATGTTGACATTAGATTACACATAAATAAATGAGATCCATCTTAATGTCTCCTAAGACTGCATTCTAACATTATTATAAGATCTTGCATTCAGCTCATTTACTATTTTGGAAGAATGTCAACCAAGTTTGTCAGCTTTCAAGAGATGCAAGAAACTGCAGTTTTCAGTTTGATCAGCCCTGATGGGACACAACTAAACATATAAAATTAGAGCCACAAAGTAAAATCCACTTTTTCCAACAGTGAACATCCCATAGAAAACACTGTTTGGTGCAGCAGGGAGGAAACTCTATTCTCTTCAATATTACAGAGCTGTAAAATATGAGAACTATCATGTGATGACAGCTTTAGTAGTGAAATATTGTGATAAAAATAAGATTTATGCTTCCCCATTCCTTCTCTCTGATAAGTAATCTGCATCTAGAAAGCAAACTCTACCCGTATATGCTGGTTATTCATAAAGGGCACACAAGAGAACCAGACATAGCATGCCAGGATAATGCTGAACATACTGCAGCCAGGCTCTGTTTTATCTTTTATCACTGATAATAAACCAGACTATTAAATCAAAGTAAGCTGTCAGTAAATATGTACATGTTTTTTGTTTATGGTTTTTGCATTTCTTACTTTTTAATGCAGCTTCAAATCTTAAGAAGAGGGTAAGACACTGTCATTATGGGATATTGTGTGCATTAAAGTTGTATTTAATAAATTTCAGAACGAGGCTATATTATAACATTAGTGGAAAAGGTGATGTTATGCATGTTTTGGAAAAGGTGATACGATGTGGTGATGCTACTCGCCAAATGCAACTTAGATTTTTCATTGGTCGAGTTAATGCTAGAGCATCATTCGCTGCAAGGTGAGTAAACGTTTGGACCAAACTTGTGCTTCAGTCATGTCCTTATTCGCCCGACACTTTGATTTATGACAAAGATGCTAAACAAATGAACTGCTCACTGTGCAGCAAATACACGCAAGAAAAGGACGAAATTATTAGCAGTTGTCAATCTATAAAACTGGAGAGCATCCGTGAACACATGCGCAGTAAATGCTACGTTCATGGGTGTCCATGTCTCAGGCTCCGTTTTTGAATGTTTTTATTTGTGGCAACTTAATCAAAAATATTTTGCATTTGCATTTTTTTTTATGGAATTCTAAATAACTTTATTTAATAAAAGTACATGACATTTTCTGTCAGTGATGATGGCAGATGATGATGTTACAATACCTTCCCTATATTATAACCCCACGAATATATATAATCCATGTTCAAACCTTTCTGTATAATCTGTATATAGCTTCTATATTTATTTATTTTATACTCTCACAATTACTCTCTGTTTATATATACCATTTATAGTCCATACATAAACAGTTTCTGTATAGATGTAAATAAATATTTATATCCTGTATAGCACTTCTGGATAGATGCAAACTACATTTTGTTGCTTTGTACTTGTGACAGTGTAATGACAATAAATAGAAAATCCCTTTATTGTCCCACAATGGGGAAATTCTGGTGTTTACAGCAGCAAAGGGATTATAGAAAGAAATGTCACAAAAATGTGGACCTTAGATAAATGTATAAGAATAACATAATGTATAATGTGAATTGGCTAATTCTGGTGCATTTGTAGGAATGCTTTTTAATGCACACTGCCCCTGTCCTATAAATATCCCACTGTAACTTTGTTTGCATTTAACATACTGCCTTGGTGAAATAAGATGTTCCTCAAGAATATGAGAGCAATTTTTATTTTATTTTTTTCCCTGTCGGGTAAAAACATGCTTGGCCAGTAATTAATTTTAGGGCTGAAACGATTCATCGAGTAACTCGATTACAAAAAATCCTCGAGGAAATTTATCTGCCTCGAAGCTTCGCTAAATTTATTGTATTGTAATAAGCAATGCTGTTAAATACGCAGCACACTGGTCTAGCCGGAGGGTTTTTGTGTTGCACAACGCTACCACTTCCGTTAGCGCCTGGAGCGCTTGTGCTAAGTTTGTAGCTTTGGAGGGAACCGGAGAATGCTCAGAAGGAGAACCCCGAAAGCAACAAAAATGTCAAAAGTTTGGGAACATTTTAGGCTAAACAGAAAGGACAACACAGCGCAATGCATCCACTGCAAAGCAGAATTGGCGTACCACAACAGCACGACATCAATGTTGCAGCATCTGAAGAGAAAACACCCGCTACATGCATCCAACTCGTACACGGTTGCCAACAGGTAACGTTTATGTTCTCTTTGCTAACTACGTTGTGTGATAATCTGCCATGTTATAGATGTAAATTGAGGCACATTATTTTGCTAACGTTACATCTAAACATAGCGGTTACTTAACCGGGTGTAGTGTAAATTGTATGTGAGGGTGGAACTGAGAGAAATTATGCAGGACTTAATGTAAGTTTGTTAATAAAAATACGCAGCAACAGATTACAGGCATAAGCTGAAAAGCATTTATTTATTGGTGTCTTTCCATCCTGAAAAGTTAGTCTTTTCTTCTCGCTACTGTTATGTATGAATTAGAAATTTTTGATTAATATTTTTTGTAGTAATTCTATATTTGTTTATACCTAAGCATCGTTTTAATAAAAATAGCAACATTTTTGCATTTTATCATGACTAGTTAAGGCTGCAGAACTCTGTACAAACTCAAACCTTTACATTTTGAGTAAGTTTATTTTTTTCCTAACATATAGATTACATTCTGTTTTCCAATACATAAAAAAACATTTCACTGCATTTAGATTTTTCTGTGATGGTTAAAAATAATGCTTTTAATTAAAGCATCCTCAAAACTCACACATAAATGAAGGCCTTAAATCCATAAATAAAATAAAACTGAAACTAAAGCTGCTATCATGGGAGATGAGCTGTCAGTGCAGATTCCAACTTAATAATATTATTAATAATATTATTTATCCGATTACTCGATTAATCGTAAGAATAATCGATAGATTACTCGATTACTAAAACATTCGTTTACAACAGCCCTAATTAATTTATCTTTGGATTCACTTGGCCCATAAGTCAAAAAGTTAATTTTGGACCCTGGATGCGTGCCTAGTTTCTTTTGCTTTTTAAAATCATTATATTAAATAAAAGTAAAACACAGCTTATTGGTTATAGTTTGCTAGATACTTAAGTGCATTTGTTCCTGATAAATAAATAATGGTTCATTGCAGGGAGGCTCTAGTTACAATGCATATATAAATAATTTAAAAAATCAACAGAGAAATAAATCACAGCTTTCTATTGTTTATTTTTAATTCCCTTTGGTCAGAGCTATGGCTGAGGGTTACTAGATGTGGGAAAAAAAACTTTTCTTGTACTTTTCTTGTACTAAATGCAATTGATCAATTCTTTTTAATCTACTTTAAGAAAAAAAAAGATATATTACTTTAATTTCAGACATTACTTCTTAGAGCTGACCTGAATTCAAAGTGTACTAAGAAAACATATTTTAGATCAGGTTTTAGATCTTTTTTCTCTACAATTTAGCCGCACATTATCCAAAACAAAAAAAATTTTGCAAAAAAAAAAAAAAGTGTGATTATGTGTGATGTCTTACTGCTGTTTAGGTCAATGAGGAAGACTCTTTTTAGGTGTTTGTGGTAGACTAACGCTGCATGAACCCGTGAGCAGGACTGATGGTCAATGGTGAAGTCACACCAGTCAGGGTTCCTTCCAAACAGGTAAAACTTCTTTTCATCTATGATCAGTTTCTACGGGGAGGGGAAAAAAAGAAACAACCTGTGTGAATAAATCCCTGAAAACACATAAAATCAGCAAAGCATGCAGCATCTGTGCCTCTGAGTTATAACTCCTCGGTGTTGCTTTCACTGAGGGGCTTAAATCTCATGGCTGATGTTGCTCTAGCACCGTTTGAAGCTGAGCAGCCACAGAGTAACCCCTCATATGGGACACGACAGACTGTCAAGCTCGTATCTGGTGCACAGCTTTATAACTACATGCATTGAAAAGGTAGATCTAGAAAAGATTTAGTTACCTCTATCAACTTGTCTCCTTTCATCACGTCCAAATGGAGACCTGTGGGCGGTTTCCCTGCCCTGCAAGCATAAAAGGTTAGACACCCTATAAAGATTGATTCAGTCAACAGGCTGCAGAAGTCATGTTTATCAAGACTAGGAGAAACTCTGCAAACAAAGTATTTCCTATCTTGCCCACAATTGTTTCTTCAATTGGAAAAAGGATTCATCTCATCCAGAACTCTATGCATTGGTCATTTTGGCTAATTCACTGCCAACATCATTGACGGGTTAGCCAGCTAGCCTAACATGATGCTAATGCTAGCAACAGGGATGGCGAGCTTTATCTGTGATAAAAACGTTCATATTTAAATTTAAGTTTTTCATTGTGTTCATCTGCAACAAGTACGGTGTTAGAAACAGCGCGAGGCTACTTTAGCGTGTGCATTTGTCTCACCATGATGGGCAATCAAAAGGAGGACCGTCTTTCACTGTTTTAGTCGCCATCTTGCTTCAGCGCATAAAAGCCGAGGTGCATTCTGGGAGAAATTTGCTGTGGGCTTATGGGGCTTGTAGTTGTAATCCCATTAACGCGTAAAATCACGCTTTTAGTAAAGGAAATATAGTTGGAAAATGATGTAGACAGTTTAATTTTACCTTCTGAGGTAAGTATTTTTAATAAAAAAAAACACAAATTAAAAAACCTTTAAACAGCAAGTATCTAAAGAAAAAACCTAGAAGTCAAAGAGAATTAAAGAGCAAAATAAAAATATTTTATGTTTCAATTTATTCTTTAAAAACGTGACATATTGTTCTGTTTGAGAATAACTGATAAATGGGAGGAAAATAAGAGGTAATTTCAAAACATTTAAAACAAACAAACAAAAATAAATCTAAAATCAATGCATTTTTTCCCCAGTCTAATTGGGTCCAGACTTTGTAGAGCCAGTGTTTGCTCCAATTAATGTATGAGTATTTTACAGTATCTAAAAGGTTTGCACAACTAAGGATAGAAATATATAGGCCTAGCTATTTTTTTAAACAGTGAGGCTCAATCAAATTAGATGGACATCAATCTAGGTTTAAGCCAATACATTTTTTTAAGACTTGGGCTGAAATTTGAGTGGACATCTCTATTACTTAGTATGATTTAAACTGAGTAGAGTAGATAAAAAATAAAATGATCCTTTATTGTAGCTCAGTGGGGAAAACAGGTGCACCAGCAGCAAACTGACAAAGGTAAAACGAGTCGACTTGCTAACAATCGGCATTTGACTCCCTTCCCATTGGCTAAAAAGCTGTTAAACACCTGATTGTATGTTTTGGATCATTTCCCCTCTGAAACATTAGCCTCTGTCCCAGTCAGAGTCCAAAAGTTCTTTACAGCCTCTAAAATATTTTTTCTTCTGGTATTATGCTCTATTTCTCTTTAACTCTTGCAAGCTGCCATAGAAAAGCATTCCCCCAGCATGACGCTGTCACTAGCATGTCTTTCTGTGGGGATAGTGTCTTCAGGGAGACGATCAGTTGCAGCTCCTCCATAAGTGCAAGATCTGTGGAGCTCACATTTTATGTTTTTCCTACAAGGAGATTCTTTCACCTTAGCTTTAAATGCTTCAGACTAAACATGTAGAAGAAAAGAGACAATAAGTGGCAGTAAAAAAATAAAAGATACCAGTTTCTGTGATTGAACTGAGTAGTGAATAAATAATTAGCCTGTTTTTGCTTTTGAACATTTTTAATTGATCTTAGCTTGAATGAAACATCTCCAAAAAAAATCTAAATTCTAAAAAGAAGCAGCAGAGGTCTCCAACTTCTCACTTATAACACCTAAGTATAAAGTGCAACTGAAAGAAAGATTTAATAATAGTTTGAGTAGATCAACACCACACAACTCACACAGTATTATATTGACTGAAAGGACGTAGCAGCTTTTGTGTGATGTTGTGGGGGGAGGGGGATCAAACCAACAGATCAGGCTGTTGTTTGAGGTTGTTTTTTGTGTGTGCCTCGTTTCAAAACTGTGGGTTTAGGCTGTACGCCTCGTAACAAAGACAGAAGCATGCTTTGTGTGTTGTAGTCTCTCTCCCTGCAGCATAAGGAAGTGAGGGTGCTGACTTATCCTTGTATGTGTTAGAGTAAGTAAGTTAGAGTAAGGTGAAGCTCCCACCATGAAGACGTATCAGAAAGCAAAATTATTTTAAAAAATGCTGAATTTTAATGGAAGTTTAAATATAGGATGGTGATTATGTTATTTTCTGGTTAGTGTTTTAAGTTACAGCCTCTGTTTTAAGATGCTATTTTCAAGCAGACATTGTGTAGTGTAAAATGTTAGTGTTTTACCTAAAACAGCTACTTTAAAATGCGACAAAAAGATTTTATTGTTTTGTTTTAGAAAAATGTCCTTCCTATATTGTTCTTCCCATTGTTGCGGTCTGTTGGCACTCAGTGTAAAAGTGAAGTAGATCAAATTAAACATTAAAGCCAATTTTCCCAAATCTTTGCAATAAAACAATGTCCAAAAATGAGCATTTCCCATTTTAAATGAAGAAAAAAAAAAACTTGTGCAAAGAAAAACTCAGCTCCTGTCACTTCCTCATTTGCTTTTGTGGTTTTCAGCTGTGAGTGTAACTCCTCTTTTTACTGCACTCGTCATTTACACTCTGCCATTATTTCTGATTTGCAGCCCAGTGAACAGCAATGGCAGGCACCATTGCTTTGCCGCTTCAAGAATTCATTGCCTCACTGGACAATGCCAGCTTGCCAAAAATTTTGCAAGTTTGTTCTGGAGTTTATTTTCAAGGTAAGCCTTCCTCTTTTTTTTAAAATGTGGGAAATTAAAATCTGAGACTATATGGTAACAGGGGTGAAGAAAATAGAATTAATCACACAAGATTGGATTAAACTGTGTCTGGGTGTTAAAAAATGAGTGTGTATCTTTTTCAAACCTTTATGGTTATATAACTCAATCTGTTAACTATTGGTTAGATGTTTCAGTATCCAAAGAGAGCCAAGCATTTGTTGCTGTATTTGATACTGCAATATAACAAAATAATGAATATATACAGGATCTTTAATGAAAAATGTAACTTTTTGTCCCTTTTCTGGTTTATTACTTATGATAAGGTTCGATATATGAAATTTCTGGAAGTGAAGTGTGTTTTTCGACTGGGGATCTCGTAAAGGTCATTGGCATTGAACTGCAGTCTGTTTCCTGTGAAGACGTCATTAAAAATGAAACGTTTGAGTTGCCGATCACTCACACAGGTTTGTTGGAATTACATATTTGCAAAAATGACGTTTTTTCTGTTTTGTTTTATTTGTCGTTCGCTAAAGCACTTCTGTTTTTTCTAGGACTCTTCAAAGTGGTCCCCAAGCAGATGCCATACTCTTCTGTTGAGGAGATGTTAAGCCTGAGGCCCGTCGGCCTCGATGACTCCCTTCCTTTTACCTTCACCAGCCATACCAAGATGACCTTCGGCAGTCTCACGTTGGGGGCAGGCAAAGCCCTGACTGTGCTCTCCATCCAGAGGCATGAGGGCAAAGAGGATATGGTGCGTTGCCATGTAAGAGGGGAAACGGAGGCCTCGGCCGAAGTCTGCATTCCTCTGTCGTCTCGAGGGGAGTTTTACGAATGCGAGAGTGAGGAATGCTACACTCTTAAGGAGATCATGTCTTCACCTTGCCTTCGCATTCGAAGATTTCGCTTCGTTAAGACCACCAAGTGTGAGCGAATCCTTGTCTTCAGTCCAATCTACCAGGTCCAGGCCATCATGAACTGTAAGTATAGCGGTCTATAAAATTAGTAACTTCTCAAATCTCAGCTTTAAAAAGATTTATATTCTAAGGTTTTGACCACAATTGTAGCTATATATTAATATCAAAATATGTTGGTACCCCAAAAATGGGAAAGCAATAATTTGTACATATTTAGATCAAAGGAGGGGCCTACCAGGGTGCAGCTATAACTGCCCCTGCTCCGATTAGTTGTAGAGTGTGCATTATATGTTTAGCATACAACAATTTTTTTCCATTTTGGAGACTCATTTTACATGAAAAAAAGTAATTCAAACAGGATGGATTATGGGGAGCTTTGAAGAGCTTGAGGTACGAAAAGGCAGTTGGTCCGAATGACAGTAATATTTAGGTACGTATAGAAGAGAGGGCAGTTGAGTTTTTTACTGGCTTGTTTAATGAAAACCTAGTCTGGACACTGAAGGAGGAGTTTGCAGATGTTCAAAATTTATGCAGAGAAAGTGCAAAGGGTCCCTGTTTCGAACCCCTGGTCCATCCATCTTAGCCGTTGTGCCTTTGGACAACACGCTTCACAGCATAGTGGGCTGATGGTGATCAGAGGACCCGGTGGCATCTGTTTATGGCAGCCCTGCTTCGTCCTGTGTGAATGTGTGTTAATTTAGTGAAAACGTCTTTGGGGACCTCAGACTTGATAAAGTGCTATTCAAATACAGGCTATTTAGCATAAACCACATCTAGACAAAGATATGATACAGTACTCAAAGAGGAACTGTCAAACTGCATGAGGAAGTAAGGGGTGGAAGATAATTATGAAGGATGATACAGGGCATGCATGAAGACAGTAAGAGGTAAGGTGTCAATTTGAAATCAGTGATGGTTTAAGGAAAGTGTAGAGTAACATCAAAAATTGCTCACAATTGCTCCTTGTTTGTAATGGTAAGAGATAGACGAGGTCAGACAGGAGCTCCTGTGTACATGATGTCTGCAGATGACATTGCTTTATCTGTTAAAAGTAGCAAGAGAGTAAAGAGTAATTTGGAGGGAAAATATGTATGTTAATGAGGGCATGGAAGATGGAAAGCTTGAGTGAGAAGAGATGGCAGAGTTCAGGCTAGGAGATGGTCCAGGCAGGGTGGATTGGATAGAGACCATAATCAGGAGTGATTCAAGTTAGAGATGTAGCTTGAAGAGTGACAGCAAAGATTTTAAAGCAAAAAAAGCAAACCTCTAGAGGAAATTCATAGACGTGGTAAAGAAAAGCATAGATTTAACAGCTGAATGATTTCCCCATGTTGCGATACAAGGAAATTATGCATCTGATGCATTCCCTTAATCACTGGTGTGCCTCAAATTTGTTTAAATGATTTGAATTATCAGAACTTCAAAAAGCCAGAGCATCATCATCCATAGGTTGACACGATAATCTCAATGCATGTAAAAACACAGAATAAAAAGAAAGCAATAAAACACCTCTAAGATAGTAAATCATAAAAAAATGTTGTCACTAAACAAATTTCTCTGGTCATGGTTAACTGACCTTAAACAGGAAAGGTTTAGTCTGGTGTATTCGCAAAGTAATATTTAACTAACTGTGATGCTGTTTTTTTACTTCAGAAGAGGGTTCACATCAGATACTTAACCAGAAAAAATGACATTGTCTCTTTCTCCTAGTTTATGTCACTGTTTCCATCTTATTTACTTTTGTCTTCACAGTGAGAAAGAACGTGTTGAGGTTTCCGTCCAGCCTAGAGGTGGATGTTGTTGATGTCACTGATGTGTGTAAAGACGTAAACTTCGTGACCCCTCTAAGCCTGACAGAGGTCCTGTCGCAGCCGGACAATTCATTCCCTGTAGTGGCAGAGATATTGGAAGAGCCTCAGAGCCGTTCTTTCTTTAAGTGTGCCTGGCTACCAGGGCTTGTCAAGAGCACCAACTTGGTCTTGCACAACAAAGGAACTACACCTATGGTCCTGATGTCCAGCTTGAAGGGCCGGAAGAATCAGCAGTACTTCCTTGTTTCCCAGCAATATGGTGGAAAGTTTCGAAGGCGTCCAAGAGAGTTCAACTCAGTTTACGAGCTGTATGTTGCTTCAACCCAGACACAGGGACTCACGGTGAGTGTGACAAGGAACTGTGAAGAAGTGGAGGAGGAGGGTATGCCAGACCTCAGCGTTGGGGATAAGCTTAAGATTGTGAGCTGCACCAGAATGGAGTTACCTGGTGAAAACATCAAAGGGCAGAGGCAGTCTGTGGAGGCTCTTTTGTGTCATCGTCTCCAAGAGCCAGAAGATGAGGATGAGGATGAGGAGGAAGAGAATACACAAAAGGAAAAACAGGAGGAGGAAAAAGAGGAGGTCTTACTGCCTCTTTACATGCAGGGTCACTTTGTAGAGATTCTCAGCGAAAACAAAAAGTATAAACTCAGGGATTTGAGAAAGGAGTTCAGTTTGCCACTGGACGTCAAAGTGGTGAGTCGAGACACTGATCTAGAGACGGATCCACTATTCGGATCTTCTTGTCTAAGAATCGAGGGGGCAATGTTGGAGCCCAGTATCCAGGCAAGCTTTCAAGATCGACCGGACCACTGTTTCCACATCCTGCCCCAGTGGCTTTCTATGTCTGTCTCTTTCACACAGGAGCCCCTACCATGGGCTCAGGACAATTGCCCAAAGTGTTTCATAGAAAAGGTTAGTGAGGTGACAGACACATTCTTTTATGATTTTCGCAAAAAGGATAACTCGGACGAGGCTCCTCCCCCTCGACCACCAAAACGAGATTTGTCATCGTCAAACTTGGTCAAAAAAACAGCTAAATCTACCAAAAAATCTGCAAATCCAAAGAAAAAGAAGGATAAAACCATCCCAACAGAGAAGTTGAACGATTTAACACTGAATCAAAAGAAAAGGCCTCCAGCTCCCCCGCCTCCAGTGAGTACTGTTCAGCATGTTTCATTGTAAAGATTAGTGCAGTATAACTTTTCTTAGAAAAAGTCTTGATAATAGTCAAAAAGAGAAGCTTTTTTTTCCTTCTGTCTTGCTGAAGTGTCTTTGCCAATTTCTGCTATAATGACAATTTCCTCTTCTGCTGTAGGAGGTCCTAAACGATGACCTCCCTCCTCCTGTTGTACCAAGAAAGTGCTCAACTGCAGATAAAACAAGCAAGGCCCTTCCAAACACTTATGTAAAGATACATCAAACCATAGTAAAGGGTGAGGATCTTCTTTTTGCTTTGCCATTCTAAGATTAGATTTAAACATATTCTCTCCTAATTAAACAGTTTATTAATGCAGATTTACATTTCTTCTCAGCATTGCCCTAAATTAAAAACACACTTGAAGCACCATCTCATTTAGCTTCTGCACTGAGTCAATAATATTATGAGGCTATTATAACATATTGGCCACCTGAAGTGACTTTATGTGATCACTTAATGTCGTAAAAAGTCTCTATCTATTAGAATGTAATGATACTGTTAGGAACCTTCTTAGATGAAGACATCTGGAAAAGTTCCTCAGTCCCAGAATAGCATGTATTCTTTTATTCATTATAACACAAGAAGTATCTGACAGAAAATAACGCTGGTAATTCTTCAAAGTCACTCTGGCCTGTTTCAGTCTCTTCTTCTGTTTTAAGCGGAAGTACGGCTGCCTTCACTGCAAATATGTAATGCTGTAGATCTTATTCTAACTTTCTCCTGAATTATAAATATATATTGTAATATATTTTCTCTGTAAACTATGTGAAGGAATACAAATTGGCAATATGTTAGGGGAACCCTTGGTCAGCTGGAGTTAATTTCAGATTAATCAAAAATACATTTTTTGGCAGATGTAAAGTCAAGGAGACTGAACATTAAAATGTTAAAAATGTGGTTTAACAGCATAACTCTAAGGTTGTGGGCAGTTGAGCAACCAGATCGTTGCAGCTTTTCTTACTTGTTTTCTTGAAACACATCTCTTACTTGAATTCATCACAATATATACGATGTAAAAGGTGGACAAACGTTTTAAATAACTAATCAGCATAATATTATTCAATATCACTAAAATACACAAGCATCCCAGACCTTAGAAAGTCACTGTCGTCCTATTAGTTTTCCTTTCATACTATAAAGTTATTTCTTAAAATATAACACAATAGTTTAGATTATAACAAATTAGGAAAATCACTTAAGGAAAATATATTTTTTAGTTTCAAAGACAGAGCAAATACTTGTAATATAATTTCATATTGTTTTTTCTTGTCCTTCTCAGAGCACCTGGATGACGTGCCTGCAGACGTGGAAAGTGACCATGACTACGAAACTTTGGATGAGACTTTAGTAACTATGGTTAAAACTGCACAAGAAAGTGTGATGTTCTATTAACAGGAAAAGCCATTTTGTAACTTTAATGTGAGTTTAATCTAACAATATTATCTTGAATGTGGGCACGGAGTGCTGAAATCAGAAGAAGCTAAATTAGAACCGTAGAGTCTAGTTTAGAAGAAACAAACTGTCTATAAATATTTACATTGTGCTCAAACTCCTGAGGCTTTAGTAAAACATTAGCACAGAAAAAAAATGTACTGTTACTATGGTGACTAGTATTGTTAGAAAGTACTTGTACTTCAATTATTTGTCTGTCGAGGTTGTCAATGCTACTTCTTCAATTTCCTCTGTGCTCCATCATTGAAAAGCTTTTTTATTTTTCACGGCAGATGTTTTTATTTAAAAAAAGCACAGAAAGCGCCGGCGGATGGATTCGAGTTGCCAAGTCTTTTTTTTTTTAAGTGCGACTTTAGCTTAGCTGCTACACCAATAATGCAAACTAGCAATACCACTGACAGCTGAACTCAAAAACACTGAATATCTCTTCATCATTTGCACCTGTTGCCTGATAAAGGGGTGGGGGATACCAGGCAGCAAACAAAGTGGTAAGCAGTGTCAATGCGGTGAAAGCAGGAAGAGAATAGGGTGAAAGAAAGGATCTGATAGAGTTCAAAAGGGCTAAACCGCATCTATATATGTTCATTAATGTCCAGCTGGCACCAAAGCTGATTAATACATAAAGGAGCAAATACTGGCACATGTGCATTGGTATCTTTCATAGTTTTTTAATATAATGTGTCACATTATAACCTCTAAACACAAGTACATTGTAGGCTTTATGTGGCCAACACAAAAGACAGCTTCATCTTAAAGCTGGAAAATTAAACGGTTATTTGCAAAAAAGAATTGAAAGGGTGTAGTATGCATCTGAATTTACGCCTTGCATTAATATCTTAAAACATAGAGGCTGGTTCCAGGTGTAGACAAGCAGTCTGAGGGGGCGCAGTGTACTTGCCAGGGGTGTGTTGGAAATTAATTGAATAGATTTTCCATTTTGAAAGTGTTCTCAACAAATTGAACGATAAAATAAACAGTTAAACCTAACATAATTACAATTAGGGTATATAGGTGGTTGCTTTTTGATTTAAAGGAGATTGTGGTTTATTTTGATGTTTTTGTTTAATGAACTGTCATTGGCTTTTCCTTTGTTTAACTGTTAAAATGGATACCTTATAAACCAAAGTGGTTTAGGCACTGCTGCCTTAAAAAAATCCTAATTTCTTTGCAGTTACAGCTGCAGGAGTATGTCTAACAGCTTATCAGGGACATGTCTATTATTCTCTGAAGACTGCTTTCAGGTCTTTTGTAAAATATTATTATTTATGCAAAACGTGAGCATTTGTTTTTAATTTCAGTTCGAGATAAAATATGTTCTGACCTACATAGGACTTTTAATAGGCTTTAATTTGTGGGTCCTTATCCTGCTAGGGTTTGAACCGACATCAAAACCTCAGGGGTTTTGCAGCTAGCGTTTTTATAACTGCTTGGTTTGTAAGCAGAGTTACAGAATTCATAGAGTATGTATAATTTAAATTACATTTCATGGCACCTGTTTTCTTTTCATGCTTCCTGCAAGTTTTGGGTTTAGCTCAAAGGTTGGAGTGGGAGGCATGTGTTCTGAAGAGGGCTTCAAGAATGTGGGTCAAAACCCACTGTATGCCACTCCGGTAATCTGAACAAGACCCTTAGTACAGTGTGGAAGACCTTTTTGATTTTTTTTTTTTTATATATACCAGAAGCTTGAATATTCTGTATTTTGAATACATAGGAAATTTGTAGTTAAACCACATCCTGCAAAGAAACTCTCCAGGGTAGAGTCTAATGGAACAGACAACCTTTAAACCACAAGTCTTTGTAGTTGAAGAGCTGCTTGAAGACGTCTGTGTGAAAAATTAATAGTAGGGGGTAGGTGATGATGAAATGGACTGAGCCAAAGAGAGGTTCAAGACGCTAAATTCGGGTGGACCAATTTTAAAACCTTGACCTTAAAAAAGGATGCTTATCGACATGTTTTCACATGATAAAAAAAAAAAAAAGATAAATACAGTCACTCTTCACTTCTAAAGGGTACCTCAGCTTTTTAATACTTGGAATACTTTTTTTCCTTTTCTTTACAAGTCAGTCTGCTGTGAAGAAGGCTTGTATTAGTAGCCAGGCTACTACAATCAAACCTAGAAATATTATCCTTTGAGGATGTTGAATTAACTATATGGTGTATATATCGCAAAGGCTGTTTTTCGTAGTTTACAGTTTCTATATTGTGCAATACTAGGGAGTTACCTAGTGTATATATGTTTAGGGTCATAGCAACTGCACAATGATATAAAGAAAATATGACTTCTTTTAAAAGGCGCGCTACTGTCACTTGGTTTGGGGAAGGACTGCATTTCCCTAAAAAGGCGTCTATTTTGACTTGGCTACAGTGGCTAGGCAAACTAAACTAAGTCAGAGGAGAAACTAAACCTATTTAAACTTGCCCTCCAACCACATTGATCTATGAATACATGTTTTTTTTTTTTTGACTAAATATATTCAAACTATATGGTATAATTTCTTCAAGTGCTACAAAGCCCATTTATGCTTCATCAAAACCCTTTGTGCATGTTTGCGTCCTGCGAAACATGCAATCCTGAGATTCAAATTAATGCTTGTGGTTAAGGCTAAAGTAATAAAATATGCATGAAACGTATCATAAAATGTTATAAATTTGCACAAATGTCATGAAACCAAGCTGAACCTTTCATGCAATAAAATGGTACAAAGTACAATATTTGTCGTGTCATTACTAAAGCTGCCTTAAAAGAAAAGGGAAAAAAGTAGAGGCTTTTTGTATAATCTTTAATAATAGCAAAAGGGAATTTTACAGGCAAAATAAAGAAATACAAATGTTGTAAGTCTTTAAAAGTACAAACTGTTATACAGGGGGAGGAGGTGGTGTGGTCTTAAGGGACAACCAAGCTATTCTGACTTGAACAGATGCAGAAGTGAGCTCGGGGAATACAGGATGTGAAAAACAAGTTTCCTCAAAGCCTGTGTTCTTCAGCATCGACCAGAGATACGAGGCAACCAGATTTTAGCGCTTCGGTGGTAAAAAGGCCGACGATCACAGATTAATTTAACTCTTTACTAACAAAGGTGACAGCTTAAATTCAAACAAGAAACCCAATGAGTGCTGCAAAGATGAAGCGGGTTAGTCATCATTGTCTGTTGATTTGTAGTGATCTTCGTCTATGGTCGAAAAGATGTGGCCTTCGTTACTCAGGAATTCCACTGCTTGCCTGGTAGATGAAAGAAACAAATAACAAGCAATGATCGGCATGTCTAGATTAGCAATGAAAAACTAGTTTAGAATAAAAGCGCTTAATCTAAAGCAAAAAGAAAAGTATAAAGCAAAACATTTTTAAACTAACAGTTTCAAATATAAAGTTTTGTATACAATACAAAATATGCACAGATATTTGTTCAATTTGTTTTTTGTTTGGAAGATGTTTGGCGAGAAAAAGATTTCTGCATCTGTGCAAGATTTCAGTTTTAATATGAGCTTCTTTCCCCAGTGCATACCAAATTAGGAGCATATTTCATAAAACCGACTTTTCAACTTGTATTTCCTTCAAATAGAGCTAAAAATATTTCTACATTTATGGGGTTTTCTCTCCATTTTAAATGTATTCATGATCACTAAAAAAAACTAGATTTGTCTAAAATCTTCTGAAAGTGATTCAACATTCATTTTGATGTTATGAAATAAAAATGTACCTCTTTGTATTCTCATTATTAAACTAAAAGCAGAAGTTCTCTTACTTGATTACAGCAAGACTTATGCCACTGAGTCTTTGCTTCAGATCCTGAATGCTGATGCCTTGTGGGTCCGGACAGCCTTTTATCAAACTCAACACCTTGTGAGAGAAAGAAGAAGAAGAAAAAAAAAAGATAAAGCAATTATGAACTACTCATAGTTTCAATCTAACAATAATACATCTTGGTTTTCAGAGCTGTGCAAAGGACGGTTAAAGAATGAATACGGTATCAAAGCTTGGAAGACTAAGAATATTGCCAGTTCATTGTTATTTAGACTAACCTGGTTCTGATTTGCATTTAACCCATTGATGACCATTAGTGGGCTCTCATTGGCACCTTCGTAGCTCCCTCCGGTCATCCCCGGGCCTTGGTGAAGCATTGGTGTACTGTTGGCCCCCATTCCTCCACCGATACCTGGCTGTAGGAAGAACCGACCATAAACGGGGATTATATGACTAAATACCTTCTTCCCACAGTCCGTGGGAAAACACAACATATAAAGCTGGCAAAGCTTATATTAGAGGAAGAGTTCACAACAATAAAACTTGTTAATTAATTCTAACAAGACAATTTGAGGAAGTTTTTTAATTTTACTACCACAGATGAAATGTAACTTCAGTCTCAATTTAGAACCAGGCAGACAGCATTAAAATGTTAAATGTTAACTAATAAAAATGAAAAGAAAAATAAGAAGTTTAGGGGCATATCTAACGACTTTTGGAAGTCCCTGTGATAGATGCGTTTTGAACCGTCCATTCCACCTGCTCTTAGCAGCAATGACTTTATGGGATTCTTTATAAATAAGATTGATCTTATTAAAAATAAGATCATAAGCACTCCTCTATCCGCGATTGTACCTGAGGTAGTCATGGAATCTGAACTGGGTTTAGACTGCTTTGATCCAGTTGAACTCTCTGAATTAGCAAAATTATTGTCTTCATCTAAGCCTTCAACTTGTATGTTAGATCCAGTTCCAACCAGGTTATTTAAGGAGGTATTCCCTTTGATCTCCTCCTCCATTTTAGATGTGATTAATCTATCTCTGTTACAGGGATATGTACCTAAAGCTTTTAAGGTTGCTGTAATTAAACCTCTGCTTAAGAAACCGTCTCTTGACCCAGATGACTTGGTCAATTATAGACCTATATCCAATCTTCCTTTCTTATCCAAAATTCTTGAGAAAGTAGTTGCCAAACAAGTTTGCGATCACTTCCACCATAATGAACTTTTTGAAGAGTTTCAGTCTGGCTTTAGAGCTCATCATAGCACTGAAACAGCTCTGGTGAAAGTCACTAATGATATTCTCATGGCCTCAGATAATGGACTTGTATCTGTGCTCGTCCTGTTGGATCTTAGTGCTGCATTTGATACAGTTGACCATAATATTCTTTTAGAAAGACTTGAATATTTTGTTGGAATTAAAGGAACAGCACTAGACTGGTTTAAATCTTATCTATCTGATCGAATTCAGTTTGTTCATGTTAATGATAGATCTTCAACACGCTCAAAGGTTAGCTGTGGAGTACCACAGGGATCAGTGCTAGGACCAATTCTCTTTACTTTATACATGCTCCCAATTGGTAGAATTATTAGACAGCATGGGATTAATTTCCACTGTTATGCTGATGATACCCAGCTATATCTGTCTATAAATCCAGATGAAGCTAACCCATTACATAGATTACAGGCATGTCTTGAAGACATAAAAACCTGGATGACTCTTAACTTTCTGCTTCTGA